CCAAACTGCCGACCTTTCTGATCGACAAGCTCAGTGTCTTAGCCACTGAGCCACGGTGTCCCACGTACATGCATACAAAATTATGCACATACCCACATATATTATATGACACAGAGAACAAGACAGTCTAGTTCAGATGTATACATATACATGGCGACAAAAACGAATCTTGGGAATTTACTAGAGGGATGGCATAGGGAACAAAGCTGTTACAGAATCTGGTAGTCCTGCTACAACTTTGAAACTTAGTTGAAACTTACTCAGTCTAGGGAACGTCCATTAAGCCTTTTCGGACTTTATAAAAAAAAACTTCCCGCTTTTCTACGTGGGAGGGAAAGGAAAAGAGACCCGACTACCTACCAATCGTCGTCCATAGAAACAAGGAAGCCAAATTCACGTAGGGAAAGGAGGGTCTTGCGAAAAAGCTCCCTCTGGCGGTGTCGTTATTTCCTGGGAAAGAAAAGCGAAGGTCCCTTTGGGGGCCTGGAGGAATTCTTATTAGCGCTCAGTGTTTTAAACATTCCCACCCCAAGACGAAAAAGATGCCTTGAAAAAACACTAAGCCACCTTTTTGGTTACAAGAGCAGCCAAAAATACCAGAATCGTCCCACAAATTGTTTTCCCCCCCCCAAAAGGCAACTGGACTTTCTGGTTTTTATTTTGTATTTTATTTTTATTTATTTTATTTCGTCAAGCATGAATTCGATAACAGATCTTTGAAGACGTTTCGCTTCTCATTCAAAGAAGCTTCTTCAGCTCTGACTGGATCCAGGGTGGGTTCGGAAGAACGCCGGGAAACGATGGGGGTTGAAGAAGAGCTCCAAAAGAAGCTTCTTGAATGAGAAGTGAAACTCTTCAAAGAAAAACCAGAAAGTCCAGAAAAAAAAAAGGGGGGGAAGCATCTTTGGGACAACCACGACCTGGATGACTGAGAATCTTCATAGAAAAATAGCAGACGTTTGAGAGATCGGTTAGATTAGAGAAATCAGCTTTTGGGGATTTAAAGACCTACGGTCTAATTAATAACCAAGTAACAAAACTTACCAGGCGGCGAGTGATCACGCATGCGCTGCGCTGAGCCCAGCTGCGGTGCTGGGTCTCTTCTCGCCCGCTGAACCAATCAGTGGTTTCAACAGGACGCCTCATTATCGTCTCACAATTTCTACCCCTGCCTCTATGTTGGAGAGCAAGGAAGGGGTTTGGGGTAACGGGGCAGCTGGACTTGCCAGCCGGGGTTTAGCCCGATCTCCCTCTATGAAATCTTAGCGAAAATCAGCCAGCAGCCGGGCGACGCTGCTCTGAGGGGAGGCTCCATCCAGCCGCAAATCCCACTGAACGATGAAGTCCCGGCTGCCTCCTTGGTAAACGAATTGGGCCCCCGACTTTTGTCTTCACCCTCTTCGCGTTTCTTTGAAAGGAGGTTTGCAATTCCCAGGACTCGTGGCAAGCGCAGGGAGGACCTTACATCAGTGATGCTTAAGGATACACACATGAAAGCGTAGAGAAGCTGTGGTCCTCCAGTGCCTCAGCCAGCATAGTAAGAACAGGCTGAGAATATGAAATACGATTCCCCCCCACCCAGCATCACTTGGGTTAAAATCAGGCAAGGATGAATTTTCACAGCTTGAAAATCAGGGGTTGGGATGATACTCCATAGATTTTCTTCAATTCTCTTATTTCTAGTTGTATTTGTGCCTTATTTATCTCATGCCCTCTTAATATTAGTTGCCCCCCCTCTCTATAGCAATTTGATTTTAAAGGCCCAGTTGCTTTGCTGCGATTTAAAATATTTCCAAGGGCCAAAGATGTATTTATCTTTTATTGAGTAGCTTTCAATAGTGAGTTGAGCAGCATGTAAATTTATTAAATTTACTGCCCTAGTAAACCCATAGCAGATTTAAAATATGAAGATACTTTTGTCAGTTTAGGGTTTAACCAGGCATTTTAAAATCCATATTTTAAAAGATTAAAATAAGATTATAAGGAGTATGTTTTCCTTAGAAATTAACTAATTAGGTTGTGATAGTTAACACACGTGGCAATATTTAGCTGAATTACAATGTTCCAAACAATTTAGCAATATTTGACGATTTTGATGGGAAACCACTCAGTCATCCCCAAAACTGGGAAGTTGAAAAACATCCCACAATGAAACAAGAAGGAAACTGCATGGAGAGGATAATCGGAAGTCAAGCTTGACCTATGGAAACGTGTCTTTCTAATGTAATAATTTTGCAATTAGGAAGTAAAATAGAATACTCATTTATGGTTTGTTTACGAACTGCTACAAATATATATTTCATGTTCACAAAAAGATAATTTATTACATTTCTTAATTACATTATTATACACATAACAGATGATCAATAGACACATTCATAAAATTATTACTAATATAAATGTACTTCATAATTGTGCGTTAGGTATTCAAGAATAGTGTGTTGTATATTCATAACTGGGAGTTTCATTCACATAGTTTATGAATCAAGAAAGAACAAAATATTTCTAACCAAGAAAAAAAATCTTTTAAGTCTCTTACATGTTAATTACATTCAAGTCCTTTTCATAACCATAAATCACATAGCATAACTGTTTTCAGCAAGGAATTCTGTAACCCATTTTTGCAAAATGAAAACATTAATATTATGCATATGACTATATTCATAGATTTCACCCAGAACCATAGTCCAGCAACCTATATGTTTGCAGGAGCTGAAAATTCAATATGCCAAAGTCTGTCCAGAGTAGGCTGATTTTCCTTCTTGTACTTGAACATGGTATGTGAAGCAGCATGTCAAATCTGCCATGCAAAAGATTGTACAGCTTACCAAAGCAGTTCCAGCTGTTAAAACTTTTTAAACAAATGGATTTATTCCCCAGTGTTTCACTTAAGTGCAAGTATTTGAAAAGCAGAGCTGTGGCAACTGATAAAGTTACTGGAATAGTAATCTTGCGTTGTAACATATAACCTATCATTCATATAACATATTCCTTCTTCTCCCATCCTAAGGCTAGTGTGAATGTCTGACTGTATAAGATAATTGCTATCTTACCATGAGAAAGTGTTTTGGAAACATTTACTTCATCGGGGGAAAAACAAGTAAAAACAGTAAACTGTGTAAAAGTGTGACATCGTAAATCATAAAATCTTGCAATTGAATCTTAATTCCATCCAAGTTTATTATATAAATACACAATATATTTGTAAAATTACTCTCCAAGTTGTCAGCATAATTCAAACTTTTTCTCAAGCAAAATATTGAGCTCTTACTCAGTTTTTAACAAAATTAAAGTCGAATCATAAATTGCCATTAGTTAACAAAAAGGTGGTGCTCAATAATTTAGCTTTGCTGCATGATAATAAAATTATTTAATCCACTAGAGAAAATGTTTTATCCATCAATTAGGAAATATAATGTAGAATGATTTTTTTTAAAAACATTCACAGTACAAGATTGCTGAAAACACTGTTGGCTTTTCTTGTATAAAAAACATTTACTTGCTTAAAGGGGATTATTCACTTCACTTCAAGTTATATGATCTCACGAGCCTATTAGAATTCAAATTAAGTTTTCAAAGATTTATAAAATATTCAAACAGGGAACACAACATTTTTTGTATAGGATTGCCTTTTGCTTTAAATGGACAATATTTTGATCCTATAATACAAAGAGAAGTAGACTTCTATTTCAAAATATAGTAAATGGAAATCTGAATCTATGGAACTTTTTTCAGAAACCTTTTTAATTTTGTAAAGAATTAACACAACTGCTAAGAGTAGACTCCTAAAAAGTAGAATTTGCTATAAACCAAATTATGAATTCTTATGAAAATTGTAGATTTTTTTTTGCAACCAACTTTTCATTCTATCCCACTTTACCTTTAGTAAGGGGGAGGGAGGGAACTGAACAGACAGATTATATTTTCAAACGCAGCAGTTTTATTTTGTGTCAAGCCCACTATCTTACAAAGCCCATATATGTGAAAAACACACAACAACTGGTTGCTTTTAGAAAGCAGTTCTTCATTGCTAAGTCATGGAATTAGTCCTGATAATTTAAATATTGAAGCTTTCTCCACAACCACATGTTCCTTTGATGTTTGGGTTATTGAAAACGAATTCACTGGACAGTTTGTCTTCTACGTAGTCCATTTCAGTTCCTAAAAGTGTAAGTTGGGCTTTTTTTTCAATAAACACCCTGACACCTTTTTAAAAAGGGAAAAAAAAAGAGATTTGGAAGATTTAGCATACATTAGGCTTTTTTTTAACTATCCAAAATACTGGTACACTATAGTTCATATATTTCACTACAAGGTAACAAATATATAATAAGTTATAGAAATTCCTTAAATATGACTTGTTTTGCATTTATTCCATGATATACTCTGCAAGCCACATTGATAATTTTTTTGGTATTTTTCCAAATGTGTACGAGCCTAAACATTCAAAAGTAGGCAGACTTAGCCTATCTATAAATAAATGGGTCTTTAGTGAGTCATTGATTTCATGGCAGTTCACCTAAAGGAAAAAATCAACCTGTCAATATTCTATAGAAAGATGGTATATAATGCAAATAAATATTCTTATTGATAGGGCTATTCAGAAGTTGGATTTAAAGGCAAAAGGGATGTGCTTTGGTGACAGCATCACAAATCTAGCACCTGTTGGCAGCAACAATTGACATTAAATATGCCTTTCCCTGGTCAGCTGAGAACCTGGGAACAAAGGCCCATCCCTATGTGCTCTGAAGCACCTCTTGGCCTTTGAATCTGAATTCTGTCAATTCTAATTTACACATTGGAAACATATTGGAAGTTAGAATTGGTAATGACTTTTGCAGTCTTACTATCCCAAGTACACTTACCATCTTGTACTACCTCTTCGTCAGAATCTCCTTTTGATTTTGTATATTCTAGTGTATAGGAAAGGCCATTACAACCTCTTGTGCGCACACCTACTTTAACTCCTACCTAAAATATAAATATTAACATATTAGAAACATTTTTTGCATGAAGCCAACAATTCTCAAGTGCCAGAATTACTGTTTCAATGATATTATCCTAATTTGACTATACAAGGTTTTAGTGTAAATACACACAGATTCTGAGTCCTTTCAATCTTAAGTGTCATTTATTTATGAGTAGTGTTATGCAAAACTGTACTGTAAGTCTCATGGAACCAAAATTGCCCATATGGGACATGACTAGAAGCTGTTCATCTAAATAAAACTAATTTTGGCCATCTTTTAAGGAATTAGGATTTACTGACTTAATGAAACAGAGCTATTTTAATTTGTACACAGAATGAAACTGGGATGTTCTGATTCATGCAGAAAGAGTTTGGGAAGGGAGAGGAGGGAACAAACTTGCTCAAAAGTTGGAACTGGTAGGTTTGGTGGAATAAGTATGCGGGAGAGGTGAGCAACTGGGAAAATAAAGGAAAGATATGGGAAAGTTGGGATGTGCTGACTAGAGGGATCAGCCAGCAACAGTGACTGAGAGGGGAGGGGCTGGTAAGGTGGGTTATAGACCATGCCAGGCTAGAAGTGCTGAGGACAGTAGGGGTGTGTGTGTGTCTTTTTCCATAACTGCTTGCCAGATGCTTTGTTTGAAACCTGGCATAATCAAGAGTGTTCTGAAGTTTGGTTTTGCAGAACCTCTGCAAGTTCCAAGTGATCTGGCATAGCTTCCAGATTGCATTGGTTTGTTCTGAAATAAAAACATTTTCCTGTTTCAAACATATCCCCATCAAATATACTTTACTGGCTACTGGCTAAAGCAATATCTATTAGCAGATTGTGATGCAGTCTTGAACATCAAGTAATGCCTGGAATACCATCTAGCACCACTTACATGGTCAGGTTTATTTTTTAGCAGTTGCTTTATCTTATTCACCGCAGATGGGGTCTGAAAGATAGGAAGAGATTTTGCATTACACGACTCATCAATTTCATCTTTTTTAAAGCAAATTTATTAAGTTACAAAAAAGAAAAAAAGATTAAAAGTAGAAGGAGATAAAAGGGATGGGAAGTGACAAGAAAAAAGAATGAAAAAGAAAAATATATAAATAATGACTTCTAACTTTCTTCAATGTAATAAAATAACTTCTTTAAATTAAAACCAAAATGTTATAGACAATATAGAAATATTGGATTATATGTTCTATTTTGTCCTTTCACAGAAAACTACAAGCAGTGAGAGAATATTAATGAATTGTAGGAGAGAAGGAAATTCAAAGTATTTCATTTAACGTTAATTGTTTTGTGGAACTTAAAATGATGCTAATATTTTTCGGCAGCTATCTGTTCATCTTTATGCAGCACACTAATATAAAATAATATTTTGGCACATGAATTCAGCCCTGTTTTTCACCTTGTCATCTTTGGCATAGGTTTTTTAGAGATACACCTATTATTCCAAGCTGCGTGAATAATAATAATTAGGCTTCCCAACATTCCAATAACATCTCTGTTGAATGATACTTTCCCTCCTACGGAGCTACCAATTAGTAAATCTCTAGTCATTTTATATATAGTCTATGGAACATTTCTTCAAACCATATTTGCTATACACCAAGATGTGCATTTAGATACAGACTGTATGTCTTACTGAGGAACATGGCATGATTGTAATTTCTCATTACTTGCATGTGTAGAGTTTATTGTCACCAATGTAATGTGGTGGAAGCGGAGAAACAGGTTTATGGGAAGAATCCCATTTTACAATCATACATTGATTTTACATATGGAAAAAACCTCTTAGAAGGTTTATAACTCGGAAATAGCTGTAAATCCATTGATTGATATTTTCGCAAGCTAATTTTATATTTTTTCTGCATTATAATTTTATGGATGAAACTAGACTGGCTGACTTTGGGCCAGTCACACTCTTTTAGCCCAAACTACCTCACAAGGTTGTTGTGGAGGAAATAGGAGGAGGAAGGAGTATTATGTATGTTCACCACCTTGAGTCATGGTATTTATAAAAATAATAAAAAACTCATTAAAATATATATAAAAAAACAATTATACATCTTTATTCTAAAATTTAAAAATATAAAGGAAGTGCTACTGAATGGCCAATATTTACAGTATTTTAAGAAAATGTTGTCTAAGATTTTCTTACGTATGGCTATCATATTTAAATAACATTTAATGATTTCCAGATGAGGTTGATTGATGTCAGACGCTAAGCAGGCTTGGCCTGGATAGGACCTGGGAGGGAGACCTCCAGCAATTTAGAGGGCTTGGGATGGATTGGAAAATTGTAAAACCATTCCAGAAGAAAGCAGGGGTAAACCATGTTCAAGAAAACTATGTGGGCATGATCCCAAAGTTCTCAGGTTTAGTTTTGCTTATGAAAATACACATCATACCCTTTCAGATCTCAATACCCTTAGAGTATTTAATCATTTCTCCATTGAGATTTTCCTCCCATAAAACTGAACATCACAGAGCTGATTATATGCACAGAAGACTGACAATTTTTAATGTGTTTGGTACCCAGTACTTATGTATATGTTCATTTCTAGGTAAACAGCTTGATCTCATATATAGGTAGTCCTCAACTTATTCAATCGAACCTATATTTTTCATTGCTATGCAACACAGTTAAATGAGTTGCATCCCATTTTTTGATCTTTTTGCCAGAGTTAAATGAATCATTGCAGTTGTTAAGTGAATCTGGCTTCCCCCATTGCCTTTGCTTCAGAAGCCAGCTGGGAAGTTAACAAATGGTGATCATATAACTCCGGAAAAGTGCAACTGTGATAAATACATGCCAGCTGCCAATTGACCGAATTTTGATCATGTGACCATGGAGATGCTGCAGGTGTTAAATGTGAAAACTGGTCACAAGTCACTTTTTTTCAGTGCCCTTATAACTTTGAACGGTCACTAAATGAATGGCTGTAAATCGAGGATTACTTGTACCACCCAATGCATGGTGGTGTGGTTGATGCCCATCATTACACACAATAAAGTAGTGTGGCAATAAAATATAATAATCCTTTCCATAATTTATATTAAACACCAGAACAGGAGAATTACACAAGGCATTTGAGGGGTCTTTGATTATCTCTTGAGCTTGGTTGTTTTCTTGCAGGTGTTTCATTACCCTAACTAGATAACATCATCAGTGCTAGTGGTGGCATTTGCTTTCACCCACTCCCCCCTATAAATTCCTTTCACGTCTTTATATACAGTATATCACAGAAGTGAGTACATCCCCTCACATTTTGTAAATAAGGATATGTTTTCATGTAACAACACTGAAGAAATAACACTTGGCTACAATGTAAAGTAGTGAGTATGCAGCTTGTATAACAGTGTAAATGTGCTGTCCCCTCAAAATAACGCAACACACAGCCATTAATGTCTAAACTGCTGGCAAGATATACTTAAATATTTACAAAACGTGAGGGGGTGTACTCACTTCTGTGATATTGTGTGTGTGTGTGTGTGTGTGTGTACATCCACACCCACCCACACAAATATCAGGGGTGAAATTCAGCAGGTTCTGACAGTTCCGGAGAACCGGTAGCAGAAATTTTGAGTAGTTTGGAGAACCAGCAAATACCACCTCTGGCTGGCCCCAAAGTGGGGTAGGAATGGAGATTTTTGCAATATCCCTCCCCCAGGAGTGGGGAGGGAATGGAGATTTTGCAGTATCCTTCCCCTGCCACACCCACCAAGCCATGTCCACAGAACCAGTAGTAAAAAAATTTTGAATGTCACCACTGATACATAGATATAAATATAAAAAAACTGGGCAGCCATAGAAAATACAGTGCCATAAAAGAGATTTTTTTTTAGCTCTATACTTTTTTGATATTGGGGAGTCTCAGCTCAAGATACCATAATAACGGACGTGCCTTGGATTAGAGCAGGAAAAAAAAACCACCCAAGCTAAACTGTCACCACAAAGGCTTCTACTGCTACACCTCTTTCTCTCCTCCATACAACCCTCCCGTAACACAATCGTGAGAAGTCGTGAAAGCTCATCTCCCACCAGCTGCATGACGGTAACAGCTCACTAGAAGCGATCTCGTCTTTTATCTAGAGAGTATCTCTGCCTGGGGTGGGAAGCAGAGGCGCCATGTAAAATAAAGAGCGAAAAATATTTTTAAAAGGCGGGCAGAATATCAAAGGGGGCTTTAGCACATAAGAGCGGCTGCAGCAATCTCCGCCAGACTATCATTGGGGACCCCCTCCGCCCCCCCCCACTTTTCATGCACGCCTGCGCAGCGCGCTTGTTTACCAACCGGTAGACCCCCCCCCTTCTCCTCCCAAAGCCTCAACCCCGCTTCTGCAGCGGGCGAACGCGAGGCTGCCCGGTGCAACTCCGTCTCGCCCCGAATACTGACCAGCGTGAGGGCTGCACGGGTGGCTTGAATCTTCCTCTTGCTCACAGCCCGGACGGTGGCTCGGACCATGGAGGAAGCCATGACGACGCCCCCCTCCCTCCTCCACAGCTCTCAGCCGCGTCCTCCAATGTTGTCCATATACACCCAGCGGTCGAAGCAAGGCAAAGGCAGGCGCGTTGGTGACGTCACCAGGGAGCGAGGCGGTCCTAGTTCGAGGGCTTTGGCCGCTATTGGGTGTATCGCGCGCCGGTCAGTAGTATCAGGGTGGGCGGGTTCGTGGCAGAGGAGGTTGGGTTTTCTCCTCCTTTTCTGCAGGGCAGCCAATCGCGAGGCTCGTTCGGGGACGGTTGTCTTTTGTCATGGTTCGGAAGAACGCCGGGGAACTGAAGAGCTGAGGAAGCTTCTCGGATGAGAAGCGAAATGTCTTCAAAGAAAAAAAAAACCCAGAAAGCGCAGCTACCTCTTGGGGGGCGGAGGGGGGAGCACCTTTGAGACAACCATGATTTGGATGACTGAGAATTTCCATAGGGAATGTTACACGTACATAGAGCGAACCGTTAGTCAGGGGTCCCTAAACTTGGCAATTTTATAGAATTTCTGGGAGTTGAAGTCCACAAGTCTGAAAGTTGCCAAGTTTGAAGACCTTTGCGTTAGGTTAAAGGAATATGAGAACTAAACAAAAAATTAAAAACGGAGAGAGAACAACTACCTGTTTCTCGCTCGTTTTAATCAAGTTCTCATTTGTTTCGAACTGAACTTCGCCTGATTATTAGGATGTAATCCAGATCGCTTGGGACTTCCCTGAGAACAAATTTATTTCAAATAGGCAGAGTAGGTTCGGCAATCAGTCTCCCAAGGGAACGAGCTCCGGAAATGTCGGGATTACTGTTCCCACGCTCACAGAAAACAGGCGAGGCTCCTGGCCATGATCTAGGGACCGTTTTCCCGAAAAATTGGCTGAGCAGTTTAAGAAAGACGTCGTAAACAAGTAAAAACAGCTTGAAATCGACTTATATTTTATTCAGTTTAATCTGGTAGTAGCCTCACTTTCCGGCTGGAAATAAAATCCAGAAAATGTCGGGTTCGTTTTTCCCCACTGAGGAACATAAGACAGGTAGTCCTCAACTTGCAGCAGTTTGTTTAGTGACAGTTACAATGGAACTGAACAATGTGATTTATGACCGTTTTTTTCAGTTATGACCTTTGCAGCAGCCCCAGGTCCATATGATCAAAATTCAGGTACTTGGCAACTGGTTCATATTTATGATCATTGCAGTGTCCCGAGGTCATGTGATCTGCTTTTGTGACCTGGCAAGCAAAGTCAGTGGGGGAAACCAGATTCACTTAGCAACCATGTGACTAACTTATCAACTGAATGATTCACTTAACAACTGTGATGAGAAAGGTCATAAAATGGGGCAAAACTCATGTCTCACAATAGAATTTTGGGTTCAGTTATGGTTGTAACTCAAGGACTACCTCGAGAATTTACGTGGCATTCAAAACAATCCAATCTGGTAAAAAAAGATAAAATTGCTTGCAGTCTCAAACATTTACCATCCCTGAGGACTGCAGGTCAAGCATAATTAAAGGAAAGTACATCTCTGTATTTCTCCTGGGCTTGAAGCAACCACTTTATATTCATCACATCTTTCATTATCATAACATACATTTATGTTTAATAAATGACTCAAAATTTTGTTCCTTTGATCTTATTGCAGTTTCTTATCATAATCACCACTTTCAAAATTCTATAACTTTCTAAGGCGAAACTTCCTGAGTAGTTTGCAGACCATGAAGGGGTCTGTATTAAAAAGGGATAATTGAGTCACTCTATACAAATGTACCATCGAAGTCCTACTGAGAGGTACAGATTGGAAAGCCAATTGTTTGTGGCGGATGGGTCATTTCTAATTCCAGGAGAGAAGTGTGACCCAAGATTTCAGGAAACTTGCATCAAATGGGGAATGGCTGGATGGCTGACTCTATCTAGAATCTTCATACTACTAGCTAGCTCATAACCAGTTAAATGGTAGGAGTGTCTCCACTTCATAACTTGGGAAGAGATACTAGGTTGCAAGGCAGATCCCAGGTTTCCTCTAAAAGCGCACATCTGCACCATTATAATGGGAACCATTTTAATTCAAGAGAAGTTTCTATCATATAATTTGCATTCTGTATTTTCAGGCATATTGGTTTATTTCAAACACTGCTTCCTTCCAAGAACCAGTTTAAAGTTTCCTCGTGTTTCAGAGTCTCTGTTGTCTTTAACCAACTGGAGTATGTTGTCTTATTTGGGAGAGAGAACATACAGTTCCATCCAAATTTTGTTAGAGCCTCGGACTTGATAAACATTTCTTCTTCAGTTAATTGTCAACTGATCCAAACCCTGAAAATTCATTTGAGGTGTTCTTTAATCTGCTGCATTGTGTTGGTGATGGATTATGTCACTGTGCAATGCTATTCTTTTTAAATGCTTCTTCTACCTATAGACTTTTGTAGTATCCGCTGTTGGACCTGGGGTAAATTACATTTAAGATAATAGGTAAAACAGCATGTACTTTCCAGTCTCTTGTTTTTGATCATGCAATCATTATAATCAGGTCCCTGATGATACTTTTTATTTGCTATAGTTTTTAAATAAAATCTTGTAGATATTATGGTTGTCTTCATCTCCCCTGGTAAGCAAAATCAAACTCTGCCTTTGGCTTATTCAATGGTATTTTCTTTTAGTGAAAGTCCTTGAGCAAATGGCATTTTATTGAAGACATTATTTCATCATTTGAAAATTAATAAAATTGATGTTTATATCCTGTTTGCTTTCATATGCATTTTAATCATCAACATGCACCTGATATTTATTTCAAATTTTGGTATGCAAAATTAAAGCAATTTATCTATGTAAAGTGAATTTATATTAATTTTTTTAAAGAAGCTACTTTTCTTTTGAGAGTTCTTATTAGAACACAGGTTTTTAACAAAGCTGTATGCAACTTTAATATATTGATTATTTTATGATGTATATTTTTAAATGTGTCAATTTTTTTAAAAAATTCACTTCTTAGATACCTTAAGTGAAATTCTGAATGAAAAAAGGATGAAAAGTTTTTATGCACATATAACGGTAAAATTATGTACAGTAGTTACCCAATCATGCAACACAAAAAATGTAGAAATTTAAAGTATTCTTTTGACTGTTTTATTTCCAAGGTCATAAATAACAGTTTCTTATGTTTTTGCTGTATATTTTCTCCTGGAAAGGTTGTACCGCATCATCTGCAGAAAATTCTGACATAAAACTTTGATGATGATGATGATGATATAAAAGTAAATCCTTGCCCAGCACACTCATGTTTAGTTTTCAATAAAGCAGAAATGCGTTCCTTTGTTTTAATTCCCTTTGTTTCCTCAGAGGAATATTTTCAAGTTGTGGACAATGGGAAATAATCATAGCAGCAGCAAACATAGCTAACTTGCTTCTCACTCTCTCTGTACAGAAAGGACAGCAGCATAGCAATCATAATAAAATAGAAGGGAAAAACTCACTCATTGGCACTGCTTTCCACAAACATTTTTACATAAAAGTTTACTTAATATCCATGTTTTAGTTGTCCACAGTTTAAAATATTTGCAAATATGGCAGTAGCAGTCCAGAAATATTCCAAACACTTTTACACAAGGAATCAATGTTCAACATTAATAAATACCCTTTTTATCCTTCAAAAATAATATTTTGAAGGTGACATTATATTTGGCTTGCACATCATTTAAGTGCACTCAAACATTCACACTGAATGTAGAAAGTCTTAGAAGTGATTTGGGTGAAGGATTTCCCTGATCTACATGTTTTACCTAGTAAATACAAACATGATTTTCTATTAAAATGCTCAAACCTATTCAGAGCAAGGATTCATGGTATGAACAAACATTAAAATTCATTCCTTTGTAACTTTAGCAATTTAATTAAAATAAAAGGTGTTTTCTCTAGATTTATGTCAAAGACAGTTTTTGCTGCTGTTTTGTGAACCCAAAGCCTATAAAAGAAAAGAAAATTTTCTGAAGGAAATTGATGGTCTGTATTGCAACTGAAAGATTGCTTCAGTTTCTTAAGAATCTTGTTGGGGTCTCTTCTGTGAAGCTTTTCCCTGAGTCATGTATTTACTGGAAAGGCTGCCTATATATCAAGACAAAAAGACCGAAATGAAGACATCAACAAGAAAGTTATCAACAGCATTAAAAAAAAATTTCTTCATAACTGAGGAGAAATAGCACATTGGTAAAGCCTAAGTAAATACGCTTTTTCAAATCATTAAATCCATTCTATACTATTCACAATAGCTGTTTTGTAATCTCAAACTTCAAACGCCACAATCTGTTCTTCCTATCCCAGACTCAACAATTTCACTTGGACAGCCAAGGTCAAAGATGTATAATTGGGAAGCACCTACATACTGAAATGTGGTGTAGGCAATGTGATTGAGATGGTAACCTGCAATTCTTATCATCCCTCAACCCTAGTTATAGTAGCTGGAACTGATGGGAATTCAGTCCCATACATACATAGTATATCTCTGCATTAAGCCAAAAGACAACATTGTTGCTTTTAATACAGATCAGCAAATGACAAATGTATCTTGAACACCACTGCCTCTTTTCATTACTGTAAGAAAATATCAATGACAACACATGATGCACAATTCTGCTCAGGCTATTGGGTTGGATCCTAAAAGCCATTCATGTAGGAAAAAGGGCAGAGATACATGGTCTTGTTCTTTCCTCATATTGCACCCCCATATTGCTCTCTAAAACTTCTGAGAGCTGGAACAATCTCCACACACACTTCACCCAAAGAACTGGGTAGAGGGATGCTGTTGAAAATATCAATCCCAAATTTTTAGCCAGTCAGCATGGCAAGGAGCTTATATAAATCATTGTGAGAAAAAAATCTGAGATATTTTTACATCTATTTTAATAATTACATCTATATCATTTCTTAGAGTAATGTTTGCATTAAAAAAGCTTAATTTACAAACCTGACTGGGGACCCAAAATTAGTTTCTGTTTCTTTTTTTCTTCCTGTGGAGGTAGTCCCTTAAAAATAGATAAGAAAATGCATAAACGAACACTTGGAGGTAGCTAATATATAATGTGATAACAGAAATATAATCCTGAAATATCTTAACAGGTATTCTATTTGAAATGATGTACTATTAATTTTATCATGTATTAAGATAAAAGTTAATCTTTAAAAAAAAATCAATACATGATTTACCTGATTTAATCGACCAGAGTGTTTAACAGCACTGGATATAGGGGTCCCACATGAATTTTCTAACATCAGAACACCTTAGAAAGTTAAAATTATAGTTTGTGAAAAAATTTACATGTCTGCATCAACCTTTCAAATACTTTTCACCTGAGTGAAAAATCTGTTCCCAAGACCTGTTAAACCATGGTTTGTTAAATACATCACAATTGTCTGAATGTATGCACTGCCTTGTCTTTAATGAGAGCTTATAACTCATAATTGCATTCATGCAACATGCCAAGACAAAACTAAATAAACAAGGTGAAACTTTTGGAAAGCTATCCTTCAAAAGAGGTCTAATGGTTTTTGTTTGGTTCACCTGAAGAAATTGCTAAGGTTACCATTTGAAGTACTTACTCTTTACTCCTACAATTTTCCAAGGGAAAATTTCCCTCCTTTTCACTACTCCCTCCTTCCTCAATCCAGAGTTTAAGCACTTTTTTTGGGTGAGGGTAAAATTATCAAACAGCAAAGTGAAAAATTTAAAGTTAGCAGGGGAGGAAAAATCTTGATTTACTATGCTCCCGTTCACTACACAATAGTGAAAATTTGCAGACACACAATATGCCTGACATAAACTTTGTTATATCCAAAGTAATCTGCACAATTTACTTAAATGTACCTTACTTCCACCCCAAGCAAGCAAATGACACAATTTCCATTATTTCTAATTTTATCATTTGCATTAACAATATCATTACATTGATATATGGTAATTTGAATGGTCCTTTAAGCAAACGCTAAACTTAAATTGTGTTTTTAATAATATAATATCACTTTTTAAAGCATTTATTATTTCTTTTCTACTGGAAGTGTTTTCAGCATCAAGGATTATATCCAGAGCTCTTTTTTCATAAATGGAAATGAATTTCATTATTTCCATTCCTTACACTAACTCCGTGATGGCGAACGTATGGCATGCAAGCCGTTGCTCCAGCTCAGCCCCACCGCACATGCGCGTCTGCCTCCCGCTGTCCAGCTGTTTTTCAGGTCTCTGCTGCGCATGTGCGGGGGGCGGGACACATGGGAAGTGCCCGTGCATGCGTGGGGGGAAAGTGCTCCCCCATGGCCCGTTTTTTCTCCCAGGAGGCTGCAGGGAGGCCTACTAGGCCCCAAATGGGTGCTGGGGGTANATATTTTATTCAGTTTAATCTGGTAGTAGCCTCACTTTCCGGCTGGAAATAAAATCCAGAAAATGTCGGGTTCGTTTTTCCCCACTGAGGAACATAAGACAGGTAGTCCTCAACTTGCAGCAGTTTGTTTAGTGACGGTTACAATGGAACTGAACAATGTGATTTATGACCGTTTTTTTCAGTTATGACCTTTGCAGCAGCCCCAGGTCCATATGATCAAAATTCAGGTACTTGGCAACTGGTTCATATTTATGATCATTGCAGTGTCCCGAGGTCATGTGATCTGCTTTTGTGACCTGGCAAGCAAAGTCAGTGGGGGAAACCAGATTCACTTAGCAACCATGTGACTAACTTATCAACTGAATGATTCACTTAACAACTGTGATGAGAAAGGTCATAAAATGGGGCAAAACTCATGTCTCACAATAGAATTTTGGGTTCAGTTATGGTTGTAACTCAAGGACTACCTCGAGAATTTACGTGGCATTCAAAACAATCCAATCTGGTAAAAAAAGATAAAATTGCTTGCAGTCTCAAACATTTACCATCCCTGAGGACTGCAGGTCAAGCATAATTAAAGGAAAGTACATCTCTGTATTTCTCCTGGGCTTGAAGCAACCACTTTATATTCATCACATCTTTCATTATCATAACATACATTTATGTTTAATAAATGACTCAAAATTTTGTTCCTTTGATCTTATTGCAGTTTCTTATCATAATCACCACTTTCAAAATTCTATAACTTTCTAAGGCGAAACTTCCTGAGTAGTTTGCAGACCATGAAGGGGTCTGTATTAAAAAGGGATAATTGAGTCACTCTATACAAATGTACCATCGAAGTCCTACTGAGAGGTACAGATTGGAAAGCCAATTGTTTGTGGCGGATGGGTCATTTCTAATTCCAGGAGAGAAGTGTGACCCAAGATTTCAGGAAACTTGCATCAAATGGGGAATGGCTGGATGGCTGACTCTATCTAGAATCTTCATACTACTAGCTAGCTCATAACCAGTTAAATGGTAGGAGTGTCTCCACTTCATAACTTGGGAAGAGATACTAGGTTGCAAGGCAGATCCCAGGTTTCCTCTAAAAGCGCACATCTGCACCATTATAATGGGAACCATTTTAATTCAAGAGAAGTTTCTATCATATAATTTGCATTCTGTATTTTCAGGCATATTGGTTTATTTCAAACACTGCTTCCTTCCAAGAACCAGTTTAAAGTTTCCTCGTGTTTCAGAGTCTCTGTTGTCTTTAACCAACTGGAGTATGTTGTCTTATTTGGGAGAGAGAACATACAGTTCCATCCAAATTTTGTTAGAGCCTCGGACTTGATAAACATTTCTTCTTCAGTTAATTGTCAACTGATCCAAACCCTGAAAATTCATTTGAGGTGTTCTTTAATCTGCTGCATTGTGTTGGTGATGGATTATGTCACTGTGCAATGCTATTCTTTTTAAATGCTTCTTCTACCTATAGACTTTTGTAGTATCCGCTGTTGGACCTGGGGTAAATTACATTTAAGATAATAGGTAAAACAGCATGTACTTTCCAGTCTCTTGTTTTTGATCATGCAATCATTATAATCAGGTCCCTGATGATACTTTTTATTTGCTATAGTTTTTAAATAAAATCTTGTAGATATTATGGTTGTCTTCATCTCCCCTGGTAAGCAAAATCAAACTCTGCCTTTGGCTTATTCAATGGTATTTTCTTTTAGTGAAAGTCCTTGAGCAAATGGCATTTTATTGAAGACATTATTTCATCATTTGAAAATTAATAAAATTGATGTTTATATCCTGTTTGCTTTCATATGCATTTTAATCATCAACATGCACCTGATATTTATTTCAAATTTTGGTATGCAAAATTAAAGCAATTTATCTATGTAAAGTGAATTTATATTAATTTTTTTAAAGAAGCTACTTTTCTTTTGAGAGTTCTTATTAGAACACAGGTTTTTAACAAAGCTGTATGCAACTTTAATATATTGATTATTTTATGATGTATATTTTTAAATGTGTCAATTTTTTTAAAAAATTCACTTCTTAGATACCTTAAGTGAAATTCTGAATGAAAAAAGGATGAAAAGTTTTTATGCACATATAACGGTAAAATTATGTACAGTAGTTACCCAATCATGCAACACAAAAAATGTAGAAATTTAAAGTATTCTTTTGACTGTTTTATTTCCAAGGTCATAAATAACAGTTTCTTATGTTTTTGCTGTATATTTTCTCCTGGAAAGGTTGTACCGCATCATCTGCAGAAAATTCTGACATAAAACTTTGATGATGATGATGATGATATAAAAGTAAATCCTTGCCCAGCACACTCATGTTTAGTTTTCAATAAAGCAGAAATGCGTTCCTTTGTTTTAATTCCCTTTGTTTCCTCAGAGGAATATTTTCAAGTTGTGGACAATGGGAAATAATCATAGCAGCAGCAAACATAGCTAACTTGCTTCTCACTCTCTCTGTACAGAAAGGACAGCAGCATAGCAATCATAATAAAATAGAAGGGAAAAACTCACTCATTGGCACTGCTTTCCACAAACATTTTTACATAAAAGTTTACTTAATATCCATGTTTTAGTTGTCCACAGTTTAAAATATTTGCAAATATGGCAGTAGCAGTCCAGAAATATTCCAAACACTTTTACACAAGGAATCAATGTTCAACATTAATAAATACCCTTTTTATCCTTCAAAAATAATATTTTGAAGGTGACATTATATTTGGCTTGCACATCATTTAAGTGCACTCAAACATTCACACTGAATGTAGAAAGTCTTAGAAGTGATTTGGGTGAAGGATTTCCCTGATCTACATGTTTTACCTAGTAAATACAAACATGATTTTCTATTAAAATGCTCAAACCTATTCAGAGCAAGGATTCATGGTATGAACAAACATTAAAATTCATTCCTTTGTAACTTTAGCAATTTAATTAAAATAAAAGGTGTTTTCTCTAGATTTATGTCAAAGACAGTTTTTGCTGCTGTTTTGTGAACCCAAAGCCTATAAAAGAAAAGAAAATTTTCTGAAGGAAATTGATGGTCTGTATTGCAACTGAAAGATTGCTTCAGTTTCTTAAGAATCTTGTTGGGGTCTCTTCTGTGAAGCTTTTCCCTGAGTCATGTATTTACTGGAAAGGCTGCCTATATATCAAGACAAAAAGACCGAAATGAAGACATCAACAAGAAAGTTATCAACAGCATTAAAAAAAAATTTCTTCATAACTGAGGAGAAATAGCACATTGGTAAAGCCTAAGTAAATACGCTTTTTCAAATCATTAAATCCATTCTATACTATTCACAATAGCTGTTTTGTAATCTCAAACTTCAAACGCCACAATCTGTTCTTCCTATCCCAGACTCAACAATTTCACTTGGACAGCCAAGGTCAAAGATGTATAATTGGGAAGCACCTACATACTGAAATGTGGTGTAGGCAATGTGATTGAGATGGTAACCTGCAATTCTTATCATCCCTCAACCCTAGTTATAGTAGCTGGAACTGATGGGAATTCAGTCCCATACATACATAGTATATCTCTGCATTAAGCCAAAAGACAACATTGTTGCTTTTAATACAGATCAGCAAATGACAAATGTATCTTGAACACCACTGCCTCTTTTCATTACTGTAAGAAAATATCAATGACAACACATGATGCACAATTCTGCTCAGGCTATTGGGTTGGATCCTAAAAGCCATTCATGTAGGAAAAAGGGCAGAGATACATGGTCTTGTTCTTTCCTCATATTGCACCCCCATATTGCTCTCTAAAACTTCTGAGAGCTGGAACAATCTCCACACACACTTCACCCAAAGAACTGGGTAGAGGGATGCTGTTGAAAATATCAATCCCAAATTTTTAGCCAGTCAGCATGGCAAGGAGCTTATATAAATCATTGTGAGAAAAAAATCTGAGATATTTTTACATCTATTTTAATAATTACATCTATATCATTTCTTAGAGTAATGTTTGCATTAAAAAAGCTTAATTTACAAACCTGACTGGGGACCCAAAATTAGTTTCTGTTTCTTTTTTTCTTCCTGTGGAGGTAGTCCCTTAAAAATAGATAAGAAAATGCATAAACGAACACTTGGAGGTAGCTAATATATAATGTGATAACAGAAATATAATCCTGAAATATCTTAACAGGTATTCTATTTGAAATGATGTACTATTAATTTTATCATGTATTAAGATAAAAGTTAATCTTTAAAAAAAAATCAATACATGATTTACCTGATTTAATCGACCAGAGTGTTTAACAGCACTGGATATAGGGGTCCCACATGAATTTTCTAACATCAGAACACCTTAGAAAGTTAAAATTATAGTTTGTGAAAAAATTTACATGTCTGCATCAACCTTTCAAATACTTTTCACCTGAGTGAAAAATCTGTTCCCAAGACCTGTTAAACCATGGTTTGTTAAATACATCACAATTGTCTGAATGTATGCACTGCCTTGTCTTTAATGAGAGCTTATAACTCATAATTGCATTCATGCAACATGCCAAGACAAAACTAAATAAACAAGGTGAAACTTTTGGAAAGCTATCCTTCAAAAGAGGTCTAATGGTTTTTGTTTGGTTCACCTGAAGAAATTGCTAAGGTTACCATTTGAAGTACTTACTCTTTACTCCTACAATTTTCCAAGGGAAAATTTCCCTCCTTTTCACTACTCCCTCCTTCCTCAATCCAGAGTTTAAGCACTTTTTTTGGGTGAGGGTAAAATTATCAAACAGCAAAGTGAAAAATTTAAAGTTAGCAGGGGAGGAAAAATCTTGATTTACTATGCTCCCGTTCACTACACAATAGTGAAAATTTGCAGACACACAATATGCCTGACATAAACTTTGTTATATCCAAAGTAATCTGCACAATTTACTTAAATGTACCTTACTTCCACCCCAAGCAAGCAAATGACACAATTTCCATTATTTCTAATTTTATCATTTGCATTAACA